CACACACACACACACACACACACACACACCTCCCCCTCCTCTCTGAAGAAAGGCTGTATTGTCAGGACCACCTCGGCACCCACCTGCTTTCTCCTCTCCTTGACTTCAGATCCACGTGTGGGCGGGGGGAGGAGGAGGGAACGTGGAGGGCTCCAGCAGCCAATCAGATGTGAGCAGCGCTGAGCGCTTTTAAAGCCGCGTGCAGCTCGTCTGCAGCTGCAGTCAGTCAGCGCGCGGAGCTTTAGGTCCTGTTTCTGCCTGTCCTCCGGAGACAACTGTCCTCATTTATTTATCATCAGTTATCTTCAGTTGTCCAGCAGGAACCATGAGACTCATCCAGAACATGTCCACTATAGCAGAGTCCACAGAAGCGGAGATCCCGGACCAGAACCGGGTCATTAAAATAGCTGTGATCGGAGGCAGCGGTGTGGGGAAAACAGGTAAGATAACCAACACTTTCCAAGGTTCGGGTAACCAGAACCGGACGCAGAGGGAACCTTGGAAAAGAACAACTCTCTTCACATAATAGAGGCTTTCTAAGAGACTGACTGTTGTCATCGTGTTGTTTCAGCTCTGGTGGTGAGGTTTCTAACGAGGAGGTTCATCGGAGACTATGAGAGAAATGCAGGTGAGTTGCAGAGAAACAGGCTACTTCAGTTAATGAATTAAAGTTTGATTGTAACGTGTGTGTTTTYATTTGTCTGTGCAGGTAAGCTGTACTCCAGAGAGATCCAGGTGGACGGAGAACAGGTGACGGTTCAGGTTCAGGACACTCCTGGTGCAGAGGTGGGTGCTTTATTCTCCTCAGACACTCAATAGTTTTCTTGTAGGGACTTTGATAAAATTTTCAAACTTACTTTAGAGCAGCTTTTCCTTTTTGTTCTCGTAAGGCTCTATGTGCAGATTCCAAAAGTATTTAGTTTTTTTAAGATTGATTTAAGGATTTAGAAGTCTTTAAAGGCTGAAAATTAGGAAGCAAGTGCATTGACTTCCATTATAACAAAATAAAAGCGCGTAGCTCCATAGACATAGTGTGCGTCACAATTTCGCAACTATTTTTCAAACCAAAGCATAGGTCTGGGTGATATGCCCCCCCCCACAAAAAAAAAAAATCTCAGATTTTTTTCATCTCAAATTTCATTTTCGATTTTAATCGATTTTTCTTCCCACTTAACGGAGTGCCTCTGTTTCAGGTGTCGAAACAAATTTGTTGTACTCCTGCTTTTTGTAGCAAGAGCTTTCAAACAGAATTTGCAGTGAGGTGTTTGTTGCTCCAAGTCCGAGGTTGCAAAACCTAACCAGTTCCAGAAAACTGAAGAAACACTGCCTTTTTTGGGAAATAGCTGCCATATTATCATGTTGTGTACCAAGCATCTTGAGGGACAACTGGGGTGACCTCTGAACCACAGAATGGCAGCACGACGGCTCAGTGGTTAGCACCGACGCCTCACAGCAAGAAGGTCCTGGGTTCGATCACCGGTTCAGACCTGGGGTCTTTCTGTGCGCACTTACCCCAAGCCCCAAAGAGTGCACTGGTGGGAAAAAAGTCTCAATTTTCCCCAAATTAAATCTTTATAAATGGCAAATTGAAATTAATCGATTAAATCGATTTATCGCCCAACCCTACCAAAAACAGAAAACAAACTAGATAAGACATTAAGCTAGATTTAGAAATGCTAAGCAGAGGGTAAAGCATAAAAATAAGCCAAAAAAAATCACTAAAAACTGACCCACCACTGCTGGGATCGGGCAGTGCGTTTAGATTCTGGAGTTGACTGAAATTCATGAAGAATTATCAAAATAATTTAAAAACAACAAATCAAACCAAGTTTCTGTCTCTGACCTGTTTGGACTCAAACATACAGCTAGGGCTGCAACGATTAATCGATGACTAATCGATTATTAAAATAATCATTGACTAATTTAATAATTGATTAATCATTTTTTTCTTTGTTTTTCTCTCCAAACTGCTTTGACAGCTTCCACTGCCACGTCTACCTTTCTGTCGTTGACACACATGCACAGTAGTGGTAACTGGGGTAGGCCGTGGACGTCACAAGACATTATACAGACAGGCTCTGGTATCATGGCTACCTGACAACAGAGCTCAAAGTGTGGGATCATTTTAAGAAAATGAAAGAGAAACCTGTGTAATATCTGCAGAGCAGAACTTACCTTCCACAGCTATTATTTTTAGTTAGCATATAGCTAAAATTTAACCATGGTTATATAATAACAGCTGCATTCTGGCGCAATAAGCTGTATGTTTTATATTCAATTAACGTATGATCCGATTAGTCGACTAAAAAAAAAAAAAATCGGTGATTAATCAATTATAAAAACAATCGTTTGTGGCAGCCCTACATACAGCGAGGGTAAATTTTTTCATTTTCCAGTAATTGTCCAGAATAAAAGCCCCCCTGATCCGGCCTCAGCACCCCTCAGCTCTGCTCTGCAGCAGTAGCTCTGCAGCAGTAATGTTATCCCTGCTGTCTGCCTCACGCAGCATTCCACACATTGCAAACTTCCTCTGGCAAAAGAAAATCTTTCAACTTTGAAATGTTTCTCAGGTAGCAGTGACTGAAACAATCATTTCTCCTCATCAGATGACAGATAACGGGATGAGCCTGCCGGACCACGTGAGCTGCTCCGTCCAGTGGGCCGACGCCGTGGTGTTGGTGTACTCGGTGACGGACCGAGGCAGCTTTGATTTGATCCGTCAGCTGCATCAGCTGGTTGTCCGAGCCGGGGGGGCTGGCGTGCCCCCCGTCGTCCTCTTGGCCAACAAGGCGGACCTACTGCACCTGAGGCGCGTRGACTCCCAGCAGGGCCCCCTGCTAGCCGGCTCCCTGGGCTGCTCCTCCTACGAGGTTTCTGCCAGCGAGGACTACAACCAGGTGCACGAGGCATTCCACAGGCTGTGCTGCCAGCTGGCCAAGCAGCCCGGACCCCCCGTCACTCCTGCCGCTGAGAAAAAACGCTCGCCCCTCATCCCCAGGCCCAAGTCTCCCAACATGCAAGACCTGAAGAGGCGCTTCAAGCAGGTTCTGTCAGCTAAAGTCAGGACTGCCACCTTGGTGTGAGGACTGCTGCAGCTGAACGTGGTCCTGGTGGTCCTGCTGTAGGGACAGAGGACATCCATGCTCATCAGTCAGACTGAAGGATTATCAGCGCTGCTAAAGCACTGGACAGAGGCGTTGACCTCCCAGTGGGCAGGGATCCGTCATGTCTGAGAACATGTAAAGACAAGCCAGGAGGGCGGGGCTTCCTCTGCTCAGGAACAGAAGAGGTTTTTATAGATTCATGACAAAAACACCTCCTCATCCTGCAGCTAAAACACCTCCTCATCCTGCAGCTCACAGCTCGGAAACTGATTATTTTACCTGTGTTCAAGCTTCACACTGCTGCTGTGTGTCTGCACAGGATGTGTGTGTCTGCACCAGTGGTGGAGCCAGACATTTTTCTCAGGGGTGGCCAGCCGGGCACCACTACTCACACAGGGGTGGTCAGGAAAATTACATAATTTTTTACTTGAAAGTTTCTGCAGATCTCTGTGTTTTGGTCATTTCCTTATGTCCTTATACAGGCAGTGACTACCTTATAAACATGGGCAGCAGAACCATTTTAAAACTGGGGGGACACACTGTTGGTGAGTCTGACCTTCATAACATAAAATGACACTGTGTTATGATGACAAAAAAATTGTCACCATAAGTCAGATTACATAGACATATGTTCTGTACATAAAGAAAACAATCACTTCTTTGAGCTTGGTGATGTTTCAAACTGTTAAACACTGCCACCAACTGTTCAGGAGGAMTATTACACCTCTAAACGTTGTTTCACTATGTAAAGGTTGTGTACAGCAGGGTGGCCAAAGATTTGTCTGTGGTGGCCATGGCCACCCCCTGGCTCCGCCCCTGGTCTGCACAGGATGTGTGTCTGCAGAGGATGTGTGTGTGTGCCTGCAGTAGATGTGTGTGTCTGCAGTGGATGTGTGTGTAGACGTGTGTGTCTGCAGTAGATGTGTGTGTAGACGTGTGTGTCTGCAGTAGATGTGTGTGTCTGCAGTAGATGTGTGTAGATGTGTGTGTCTGCAGTAGATGTGTGTAGTCTGAATGTTTGAGTGTTCAGAAGGAGTTTGAGCAGCAGACAGAATGTAGCAGAACAATTCACTTTGTAAAAATGTATCACTGTTTCACAATAAAAACATTTTAAAAATGAAACGTATTTAATTAGTCTTTTTGCTCCTCTGTGTTTGATTACACAGAAAGATGTAAAAATACAAAACAATTTGTCAGACTGTGTTTACTCCCAACCTTTCAGACCAAATGAAAGTCTGGGTGTCTTCATGTGTCTGCAGACGATGTGTGTCTGCAGACGATGTGTGTGTCTGCAGACGATGACGCACAACAATAGTCTGACCCATGAATACACCAAAGGCCTTGGTAATACACGCTGCAGTGAAAAGACAATGACGTGGTGACTGTACAGCTGCTTTCTGAAGCTTTCATCTGAATTAAAAAAGAAATAAAAACAGGAGATAAACCTCAGAAAACAAGTCTGATAAATGCTGAGTTGACTGAAAACAAGTTTAAATTTTCAGAGGAAAACTTATTTTATTGTCATTTGTCTGAGAACTTTAAAGCCAGAATGAGAGGAAAATATTGACGTGTGTAACTTCACCTTACCTGTACGGTCTGTGTAAAATGTTAGAAAAAAAAAAAGAACTGGCTGAGTTGTGACGAGACGTGTTTCATGTTGAAGGAAGTTGAGTGTAGGTGAGTGAATCCTTGCCTCAGTGACAGAATCTGCTGGTATTTGAGAATGTAGGGGTTCCCCCAAAGGGGAAATAAACATTTCCACCTGTCTTTGACTCTGATTTAAAAAAATCCGTTCTCAAAAGAGACATTTTA